GTTTGTATGCAACGTATATGCTATATTAACTGATGTATCGGTCTACGTCACTCGAATAGTATTCACCATCATGCTGTCTCCCCATCTGTGAGGATACGTGATCAGTGGATTCCACGGGCTGCTTTGCCGCACCTTGTCAAAGCTTATTTGCACAACCCACCAGTTGCACCACACCCTCCACCGCGTTTTCCTGGGGATGCTCAAGGAAAGATGCTTCGGGAAAAAGAAATGTTACTACGTACCACACGAGCTCTTATACCTCCGTGTGGATCAGGCCTCCCTGGTGGTTTAACCCGCCGACGGGAGGTTACGTTGCGGAGGCTTCATGCTGGGGTTGCGCTTACCCCATCTGTGATCCTTCTTTGAGCGCAAATGTACCGAGGCCCACATGGTACATCATGCCCATTTCGCCACGTCCCAATCTAGAATGTAACTGCGTCACACTTATTGCGGACTTGCATGGACCTACAATAAAGCCATCGTCGTCACCTCCGTGCAACAGGATTCAAGCCTGACCGAACTCAAGACTTTGACCGCTATAGATTCGCGGACCTCACCATCACTCATTACTTTACTTTATACATGAAGCGAACCTGCATGTCACCTCGCTGCGGTGGTCTAGTGGCTAAGGTATTCGGCTGCTGACCCGCAGGTTGCGGGATCGAATCCCGGCTGCAGCGCCTGCATTTTCGATGGAGACGAAAATGATGTAGACCCGTATGTTCAGATTTGGGCGCATGCTAAAGAACCCCAGGTGGTTGAAATTTCCGGAGCCCTCCACTACGGCGTCTCTCATAATCATACGGTGGTTTTGGGACGTTAAATCCCACATAGTAATCAATCAATCAATCAATCAATCAATCAGTGAAATATTGACTGAATCAATCGATAAATCAATCAAACCTACATGTATATTTTGGAATAAAAATTTATTATGCTTAAGAACAGGCTCTAGAAATTAAAGAAAGAGAGAGAAGTCATATTATATATGTTGTCTTGTTTCTTTCGGTCTCTTTGTCTTTCTCTGGGCCTGTTGAAGCCATTTCGCCAGTCATGCCCGCAAACTTAGGGCTTTGACGCCAACGCGAATATAACTACGACAAGGTCGATTGTTAACACTGGAATATTTGAAACCATGGAAGCACATTTACGCCATTTTGTTCTGGTGTAGATGGCGCAGCGATAGCTGAAGAGAACCCTTTAAGTTTCATCAGGAGATGTCTGATACATTTGCCTAATGATTCAAGTTTTGGTTGGTTAGCCTTACTTCATAGACACTATATTATTACAAGATAGATAGATAGATAGATAGATAGATAGATAGATAGATAGATGGATAGATAGATAGATAGATAGATAGATAGATAGATAGATAGATAGATAGATAGATAGATAGATAGATAGATAGATAGATAGATAGATAGATAGATAGATAGATAGATAGATAGATAGATAGATAGATAGATAGATAGATAGATAGATAGATAGATAGATAGTTGCTTGGATTTTAGTCCCAAAACCACAATATTATCAGAGACCCCATAGCGGAGGGCTCCGAAGATTTCTATTATCTTTGCATTCTTTAACTTGCACCTAAATTTGAGTACACCGACCTCCAGCGTTTTGCCTTCATCAAAATGCTGCCGCTTCTGTCAAGATTCGATACCGCGACCAAGTACCATAACCGCTATACCAACGCCAGGTGCGGGGAATACTTCTGAAATAGTACATAAATATCCCATAAAGTGTGTGTGCTTTATCGGGCATACCGTGTACAGATGTCTCGTATGATGACCGTGTGAGTGGCCGGTGGTTTTCTCTTCGGTTTGTCACCACCACCTTTTTTTATACTTGCCCGCCGTAAAGAACGTGGAAGTGTGCTCGGAGGTGTCGTTCCGTGTCCGATTGGGGGAGCCACGAGCCGATCGCGACTGACACCCGGAATCGGGGAGGGCATACAGGAAACGTCGCGGTTTCTAGCGCGAATAAATACTTTGGGCTTGGAGTACCCCAGGCCCCGTAGGCTCGGTTCAGCTGTGCCTAACACGCGATATGTGCTGTTGTTACAACGGTATCCAATCGGGCGTGCACGACCGGGCAGAGACCTCGCCCGCCCAGGAGGCTTGTTGCTTTGCTAAAGTCCAAAGATCAGCCGATATACTTTACACTTTTTTTCTTTCTCTATCTCTGTGTTCTCTCAGTCGGCTTCATGGGTTCAGGACGAAACACGTGAAGGATAGATGCGAAACTTTGTTGCAAGTCCTGAGTTGCACGGCTCAACGCACAGTGGGCCGTTCTCATGTTTGAAGAGTCCGGCCAACGTAAGAAATTAATAAATTAGGTAGTTAGATATGATTTGTTTGTGGATTACTTGGTATTGTCAGCCAGCTTTTTTTTCCCTCGCGTACACGTAAGACTAGACAAGAAGGCGCACGCATAGATAAGTATTCATATTTTTCAAGGAATGATAACCATTACGCTAACTATTCTAGAGCTGATCCTGAAACAGCAAGCACACTACCTAAAAAAAGAGAAGAAGAAAGACTACTACTTCAACATATGCAAAAACAAGTCATGAGCGTGCGTAAAGGGTACCAGCAATGGAAGCAAGGTGTTCCTATTTAGTAAGTCGCATTTCACACCTGTTAAAACAGTGTTCGCCTTTATTATTATCTAGTGGTTCCATCATCACACCAGAAGCACGTCGCGTTACTATCAAGATATATGATGCTTCAAACTTGCAAGTTGACAGCACAAAACTCGGAAACATCGACTGGTTTGTGTGACAGGCAGTGTTACTATAGAACTACCCGATTCACTTCTGTTGCCTGTTGGATGGGTGGTAGAAGTCGTTAATTTTATGCATGAGATATACCAGCCGCATGGGCTATCCTAAGTTCCGTATAAGGTGCCTTGAGCCTTTGATTGATTGATATGTGGGGTTTAACGTCCCAAAACCACTATATGATTATGAGAGACGCCGTAGTGGAGGGCTCCGGAAATTTAGACCACCTGGGGTTCTTTAACGTGCACCCAAATCTGAGTACACGGGCCTACAACATTTCCGCCTCCATCGGAAATGCAGCCGCCGCAGCCGGGATTCGAACCCGCGCCCTGCGGGTCAGCGCCTTGAGCCTTTCGAAGCAGCGAATTCAGAAAACGAGCGCATTCAGGCAGACCGTAATTACACCATGCACTACGCGTAGAAGCCAACTTTTGTTTCACTGTCGTAAAGAGTTGCATATGTGTAGTGTTGCATATGTGTAGTATAAGTTAATCAGGTACAAGATAAGTATAACGATTAAATTTGCTAGGAAACTTCGGGTGGATTATAGTTACATACAGGCCTTAGGTAATAATGTGAATGAAACATCCATTCAACTCTAAACAGTTATGGAGAAGCGAAAGAATGAATAATTTACACGATGTTCTCAATTTTCGAGCGCTTATAGTAATCGTACGCATGTGATGGTCTAGATTTTGCATTACAGCAGATGGCAACCACAGCCTGTGTCGCTGCCTCGCACGTCGGCACTGCTGCGGTGGTGGCTAAAAAAACGGCACAGCTCTTTGCCCTTCTATTCGTCCTCTGTTCTTTCTGGGTCAACGAGCTTTGTCAGAGGGCACCCCGCCGGGAACGCCGCCTCGAACTACTCGTGTCCTGCGCCGCCGTGGAAGCCACACTCCCCAAAAATACGCAATTCTCGTCACGAGCTCAGGCCGACGTACGAAAGGGTAAGCGGTGTGCGAAGCACTTCAAGGCACCGCCCGCAGTTGCTTTCAATTTTGCTCTCTCTCATGTATACCCTTCACTTTCTCCCTTTGAAAAGTCGCTGCTCTGATGGATGGAAGGAACGTGCAGGGACAAAGGAAGAGTGCGCCCGCGTATGCGTCTGAGAGCGCGCGTGCTAGCCACATATTGTACAAAGAAGCCGAGGCTCGTGTTTAACGTTGGCGTGGACCCACTGCAGGTGCATACCTCTTTGCTTCCTTCCGTTTCCCGTTTTCGGTGGAAACGCCGCGTTCGTGAATGCGGCGCTCTCTTGGCGCCCTCGCGAAGAGAGTGCCGCGTTCTCGCGGAGCCGTCACCCGAACGGTGATCACGTTTCTCGCCGGTCATTCCCGCGTGGCGACTGTTTAGCGTCCCATTTTACTGAGAGAACGGCTGCTTGGCAGTGACGCTGGAGCAGAATCGAGGTTAGGTAAACTGGCGGGCTAACGTACGCCGAGACGGCGTTAATAATAGATGCCTTGCACGGACCCGTTCGTCCGGCAGCTCTCGATTCCTGTTTGCACGTTGACGGATGGGAGAGCTCGCAGCGCATACGTAAAATCATGAGCGACGGGACTCGTGGTGTGCGCCACATATGATACAGTGATACAGTGATTAGTTTGGGCCCTGACAGCATGAAGGTCTGTCGTAACCCTATCCAGGACAACAAATGAACAATTACGGTGAGCTTCCCGTAATTTTTCTGCTATGGACCTCAGACATTGTGAATCAGGTCTCGAGAGGATGTTGTCCAAATGTAGGGGCCATAGTGTTTATTGGCCCAGTCAAGTTGCCAAGACAAGCTTTTCACAAAGGCAGTGCGAAACCACGTATAAGGTGCAATGTCTCCGATCTTGGGGACAGTTTGCAATGTCTCCGATCTTGGAGGCAGCCCCGAACCACGTTAGGTGCAGATGGATTTTGGACGTGGGTGAGAGCGAAACGATACATCGATTGAGAAAAAGCACACGTCTTTCATCTTTCAGTCCTCTTAGGTGAATGTATAACAGACTCTGTGAGTTTTGTATATCGTATCAAAAGCCTAGAAGACCATGCATGTTTTTATGGTGAAACAAACCCAGACTGGTTGCTTGATTTAAAATTATTTGGCAGCAGTGATGTCTGTCAGAAACAAGATCACTGCGTGTTTTCGTCTGTGTCAATCAGCTCCATCTGGTTGAGTGGAGTTTAATAAACGTTATTCCCCAATGGTTGTGCCCGTGGCCAGGTTGCCAGAGATCCACCGTTCGAGAAACATCTTTCGAGATCCTCGGCGATGGTCCTGGCTTGCTGTACGGCCCACTCCATGTCTTCGGCATCCCCGCTGAGAAGGGCGGCTTCCCATTGCTCAGCAAGGTACGTCGCTTCAGTGGGTCCTTCAGTTGGCGTCGTCCTCTCTTGTAGTTTCTTGCGCATTCCCAAAGCACATGCGCCATGTCGGCCTGTTCGTGCTCGCACCACGGGCAGCCTGGCGACGTGTCACCTGCTCTAATGGTGTAGACTATCGTAAATCTAAAGCGAGCTATTGCTGCTGCACAAACCTTTACATATTGTTACTCTCTGAGTTTGCTTCCTATTCGTTAATTTCATGGTTGCGCTTACTTTCGCATGCTCATCTGAGTATCACGTACTCCTATTTCTCTTTCTTCATTCTTTCTGCACAGGTAAAGCATGAGGAACTAGAAGAAAAGAAAGGGAGCCTATCATATACAAGCCGATTTCACACGGGTGCTCCATCAGGGTCTCAGTGTCACAGCAAGAAAGCACGACGCCGGTAAGAAAAGGCAGAGACAAATAAAAAGAACGAAAGAAAAGAAAGGTTAGGCCTCATGGAGGATCGAGCCTATTCCTATACGGCAGCGAAAGGAGACGGGTCGCTTGTTTGTTTCGCTCGTCTCGCGCACAACAACTGTGAGCCAAAAGGAGAAAAAACGCAAATGCGCCCGCCCTGTTCCAGGCTGGCGTGACTTCGTGCCACTGAAGCTCGCAGCGAGAGAGTGGGCGACTCGCAGTGGGAAACGAAGAGGACGCCGGAGTGGTGCTGTCGTCGACGCGTGCAATCGAATGCGTCAATAGCGTTCATTGCCACCGAAGCGTATGACCTCGATCTGGCGAGAGTTGGGAGAAGAGGCCGCACACGGCAGTCCGCGTCACGGAAACCGGAGTGTCGCCTGGAGCGGCTTCTGGCCCGAGCCGACCATCAGCCGGCTTTTCTTCTCGGAAAGTGTCGGAAGAGATGACAGGGACAAGCCTGCCGGTCCGTAGTCCAAGACGCTGACAAATGGCGCGAAATCGGGGTCACTCTCTTACGTTAGCCTTCGATGCGTGCTTTGCCGCATAGCTCGCATGCGCTAGAGAAAGCATTTCAACTTTCAGCCGGCAGTACCGACTTGGATTTCGCGGTTATGTCCGGTAGAGGTCACGTAAGTTTGGGAATGTTGGTATTCCGTTCCAGTATCTAGTCCACACAGACAAGACAAATGGCGAGTGGCAAACGTACAGCGCCGGTCTTCGTCGCGTTCGGCTGTTAACCGGGAGGTCGGTTGTCACTCGGTTTTTGTCTTCCGTGTGTGCTAGATGCTGAAATGGTAGAAGTGGCTGTTTGGTGCCGTCAACTGCAGCCGTGTCTGATGCTACAGTCACATGTTCTACGGCATAGATTTGTAAACTCGGCGTAGCTGCGTCTTCTTGCTGCCACGCTATATGGTCATCTTTGAACGTTGGAATATAGCGTTCGTCTTGGTGTAGCGTACACCAGACGTTACGCACATATCATCGGTCGCAGTGACACCGGTCCTAATTGTGAACACTGTGATGTGCCAGAAACACTTGAGCACATTTTGTGTCTGCCCAGCATACGCACGTGAACGACAAACACTGATTTCTTCTACTGAACTATATCGCAGTAGGTCATTAACTGGTGAGACCATGTTGGGCCCTTGGCCAGACACCAACAGTGCAACTGCGGTCACAAGAGAAGTTATAACTATTTTAGAAATAACTGGACTATGTGCGCGGCTATGAAATGTGTCTCAGCTAGAAAGAACACTACATACTCACCTCTCTATCTCACCATCGTCATCCATTAATCTTTCTTTTCCCCTTTCCCTTCCCCCAGTGTGGAGTAGCAGGCTAGAGCAAGCTATCGCTCAGGCCGACCTCTCTGCCTTTCTGTAAATAAACTTACCTCTTGCTTCATTGGGAAACGCAGTCGGAATGATTGTTACGGGGCTTTTTACAAATAATCTGCGCTTGTTATGAATAGTGATCACGCTTGCAGTGTCTAACTCAGAAGGCGTACTCGCTCCTTGGGCATGGTTGTTTAATCCTGTAACAAAATTTCAATCATCTAACAAAGCTCTAACGATAAGTCCTCTAACAAGACTCTAACAACAAATCCTCGAACAAAACTTGAATCATCTAACAAAATTATAAGAAAGAAATTATTTGCTTAAAGTTGACTCTATTTGTCTTTTTTACCTAGTTCCCTTTAGAAGCCGTAAACATCCTCTCTCCACCCCACGGGCATGGAATTACAGGCTTATCGAAGCTGCTAGCTCAGCATTTTATTTCGGACGCTTCGTCTTCATTTCACAGCGTACGCAACATATGCATAATGGGCGCATTTACGGTAAAGTTGTATGAAACCACATGTACCCTGTTGAAAGGTCCCCACCTCATCCCAAATACAAATGGCGACAAGTGAGAGACAGGCGCCGAATAGGCTAACACGTACCCGCACTTACACTGTCTTCACACAGCGACGTAGACAAAACACAGCGACAGATCTCCCTGATGCAAGTAAACCCCAATACTCAAAGATAAAAGCACAATAAACAGGAGCGTACGTCAGACGCCGTCTCGCTGCTAATTGACTACGGACTCGTAAATTGGCTGTGGGAGGCACGACTCTCCGAACTGGACTGGAGAAGCCAATTGGCGTCCACGGAGCTTCGAATCCCAGTGGGGCCCCGAACGACAGTAACCCACAGTAACCAGAGAGCCTAGTGTTTATCAAACTTCATTTTTCTTTCAAACTCTCTCTTTCTTTCGTGAAAACTATTTGCTTTTATAACGCATCCGATCATCGAAAACTAATTGCTGGTAATTATAACTAAACTTAAGTTGAGAAAATCGGTGACTATGATGTATCGTAGAAATGCGTATCACCTCTACGCAGGGACACAGCCAGATTTTTTTGGGGAGGGAAGGAGGGGGAGAAAGGGTTCATCATAATCAATGTATGTTCGTGCATGCGTTTGTATGTGTGCGTGAATAACATGAATATACGCACAAGCAAAATCGAAAAATTGGGGGGGGGGGGGGGGGGTTGTACCTCCTTAACACTTCCCCCCTCTTGGCTAAGCCCCTGCCTCTGTGATACCACTTTAGGAATATAAGCTTTATGTCTGATTGGATTATAAAGAAACCCGCGTTGAGGAAGTTTTCCTCTAAGCACGCGCTCAACGCTAGTTCAAACATTGGGAGGTTTACCTAACACTTTCGCGGCTTCCTCGTGCAAGCTCGGTTTTCCGTCGATGAGTGCCAGGAACGGCGATTGCGAGAGGCTCTGTAGTATGCTACAACACTCGACAAGTGCGCTCGTGGGAATACCGAAAATATAGGCACTTCAGTCGTGGATGCGTCTATAACGAGTGGAGGCGTTCGAATCCTTGCTGAGCGAGCCACTCGAAAGCGGAGGGGAAAATCGAGGTTATCGACGATGAGTGACGACTAATCAAACATTCGCCCAGGTGCAATCTTGTCTGAGCCGAAGGTCGGCTGCTCATTGGAGAGACGCGGAATGCTGCAACTTCTTTCTCCGGCTGCTTTCTTTATTTCGCCAACTCCCGTGGTGCACACGCGGCCTTTGTTCCATCTCGTATAGCGAATGCCCGATAGTGACCTTGAAGGGCGCGGAAGACGTGTAGCATCCGCGCCGTCAGTCATGTTCTGCCTGATTGCACATATCGTGACGTTTCTCAAAAATGTCATCTTGTACGAAACTTTTCTTTGTTTGGGAGGGGATCTGTTGTAAGTATAACAATTTCCTTGTTTTTTAAAGCGCGGTAAAATGATATTCTGTGTGTGTGCGTGCGTGTGTGTGCGAGAGAAATCCTTAGAGGTGTAGCCAGGCTTGGCTGCATTGCTGTTCTACCTGGGACCTTGAAAGCTGGCTAGCGACACCAGCTGATTTATTATGACCGCGTTCATCTATTTATTTCTATTTCTCAGAACTGCCGTATGGTATGGGGATGCAAACAAAGTTCTGGAACCACTACACTAACCGAAGATCAGTGGGAGGCCAAGTTATCGGATCCATGCCTGAAGAATCAGCGAAGCCTGGTTCAATTAACGGGCGCGTGAGATGGCGAAAGCCCGCGCTACCTGGAATATAGGTCGCCCACCTTGCTCAAATAAAAGTTCATTCTCTCTCTGCCTAACGACGGCGCGAGAAATGAGGGACGGACATGAAAAAGGTATGCGAGCGCACACAGATTTGTTGCTTCCGACACGAGCACGTCATGGCTCTTGGCGTCACTGATGTCCAGAGAAAGAGAGAAGCAAAGAAAAGTACAGAAGTTAACGTTGGTGTCTGACTGACTCACTTTAACTCATTTTAACTCCATGGTACCATCTTTTTTGTTTTCATTCCTCTTTTTTTTCAGCTTGACTAAATAGGAAATTAGAGGCCGTGGCCTAACGAGGCCGGCACCTCTAGTAGTTTCACAGAACCTCTCTCTCTTCCTATTTGCATTTTTGTGTTGCGATGTTAAGGCATATGTCTTAATTGGAACAATGACGAATGACTCCAGTGTCCTTATATGGTCCCCGTCGCTCCAATATTAGGTCCTTCCTTACAAGTTCCAGTTTTCTTAGCGAGCTCTTGAATATCACGGACGCAGCTGCTCTCCGTGTGTCTTGTTTGAATGAGATTTACGCTAGTGCAACTCCCTAACCGAGTGAAGTCACCAACCACCTGAGTCAGTCAAGACCCAAGAAGCGAATGGCACTCGCTGACGACACTATACCACAGCAGTCGCGTGAGCAGTGACCGTTACACGCATGACCTAAACGTAGTCTTACGCGCAGAAGCCATAATCTCACCCTCCTCCGTCTCATTTCCCTCTTCGTCGTCTCTTTGTACCGGCGATCACACGAGGAGAGCAGGAAAGAACCGCCTTGCGGTGGCCATTATGTAACGCAATCCAAGCGACGCAACCTTGCTCGTCGGTTGTCCACCGACTGACCCAGGTGAGCGCATTCGACGATTTGCGATTGCTGAATGTTAGCGCCATCTTGGACAAGGGTTTGTGGAAGAGAGGTCTGTTTCTATCAGGCGCCACAACATTCGGTGTTTTGTATGGCCATTAGTTGTCGGCCAGGTCCCTTCCTGTTTTCTTGGTGTGCCCAAATGATGTAATAATAATAATAATAATAATAATAATAATAAAATAATAATAATAATAATAATAATAATAATAATAATAATAATAATATAATAATAATAATAATAATATAATAATAATATAATAATTGTGATGACGACAAGAGGAGTGTACGACTGGCTTTTTCAGTTTCCTTTCGTTTGTCTCGTGTTCTGTAAGAATAAAAATAATTGCTTGGGTGTACGTTATAGTGAGTAAGCTTATGTAAATTATCAATAATGGCTAACTTCGATTAAGTAAGCTCTCCCATTAGTGAGCTAGAAAATTAAGAAACTATAAGAATAAGAATGGGGTGGAGTCCATCCGGCAAGAATTCTCAAGTCACGACTGATAGATCGCCACTATTCCTCAAGAGGAAGGTATATAACTGCTGCATCTTACCGGTACGTACCTGAGGAGCATAAACCTGGAGGATTACGCA